CACGCAGAGAGGATCCGTCTCAGAAACCAGCACAATGCTTTCCTTGCACCTGCTGCAGAAGAGGTGGGTTGTTTGTTTTTGTGTGTCCTTCCTAGAGTTTTGTTCTGTGTAGGGTTTCTTCTTCTGGAAGAAGGCTATCTGGAAGTAATGTGCCATGGCTAAAGTTCCTTTCTTGCAGAAGCGGTAGCAAATACATCTTTAGTCTGACATTTCTTTTTTGTAAAGATAATAATAATAGTAATCCAGGTCATCCCTTCTCAGAAAGTAGAGGCCTCTTGCTCTCCCAAAGGAACTCTTTCTCATACTTACACATACACACTAAATTTAATATCCCAGTTCCAAAAGGTCAAGGGAGAAATTACATGACAAGGACAACACCACAGGCTGGGACCTACTTGGAGGCCATGGTTCCTGGGTTGGGAAACATTACCTTGGCAGCTAGAAGATTCAAAGGGTTGGAATCCAAAAAGGACTTTAGTAGGGTGTAGTGTTGACTGGATCATATACATGAAGAGCTGCTACTTTCCTTTCACCTTCTGTGAAGGTGTTTCATGATAACTTGGTCTACCCCCACCCCCACCCCCTGGCCATGCCATTGCTATCTCTTTATATTTTTTTTAACAATGTAAGAGGCATGTTTAAAGAAGTTACACAAATTGTAACGCCTGAGAACTGCAATGCAGTATGATCATCATAGAATTGTCGTAGGGTTGGAAGAGACCTTGGAGGTTTTCTAGTGCAACCCCCTCCCCCAGGCAGGAGACCTCCTACCATCCTGGACCTCCCCAAGGTAGGAGACCTTGGACCCCCTACTATCCCAGACAGATGGCTGTCCAATTTTTTTCTGAAAACCTCCAGCAATGGGGCACCCACAACATCGGGAGGCAAGCTGTTCCACTGCTTAATAGTTCTCACCAACAGGAAACTCTTCCTTATTTCCAGGTTGGATCTCTCTGACAAATTTCCACCCATTGGCTCTTGTCCTGTCCTCAGGAGCAATGGAGAATAAATTGATGCCCTCTTCCCTGTGATAAAGGGCATCGCTGATCATTGACATGACACCTTGGTCACAGAGTATGAACGCTCATCCAAGCAGACATGACATCTTAGAACTAAAACAGTGCCTCTAATTCTAAATGCCAACATGCTAGTGAAGAAGGCTCAGAAGAGGCTGTATTTGCTGAGAATGCTTGGGAAGTGAAATTTATCTCAGCATTTACTTCTGTCTTACTATTGTAGCACCACTGAGAGTGTCCTAACATATGGCATTCTGGCATGGTTTGGGAGTAGCTCTGTAGCGGACAAAAAAGCTCTA